GTCATAGACTACTCGTGTGTGTGTGTGTGTGTGTGTGTGTGTGTGTGTGTGTGTGTGTGTGTGTAAATAGAGAGGACATGCAGTACAGTATTAGATTTTTGTTTTGTAATTTTGACAATAACAGTGTTAATTTTTAAGCATTTTTTCAATTTTTATTTCCAATTTAAATGTTCACAGTTAAGCATTTTTTCAGTTTTTATCAATTTAAATTTTCACAGAAATTATGGGGGGTAGTCAGACAATAATCACGTAATGGCAATAGCTGAGATTCAAAAAGGTAAAGCTTTATAACCATTAATACACAGATCGTCAACATCACATGTCAAAATATACAAAGTAAATATCCTGAAATCAAACTGTAATAAGTTCTCAAGCAGAATTTTTCTTACTTGCCTATCTGTAAATTTGGATAGAAATATTTGTGTTAGTTAGTGCATGTGCAGGAAAATCAATATTTGCCGACATTTACCAATACAAATCTAATCCTTCCAAGCCTATATGTATTGCACAATCACTTAGGGCATGAGAGTGAGCTAATTATTATGAAAAGGCCAGCTCATTTGAGTGGTGCTGGTGGAGGGGATTAGTTGAAGGAGACAAAGGAATAGCGCAAGTTACTAGAGTTCCGTCAGCAGCTAGGAATTACGTACAAGAGAATGAAAGGGAAGGAGGGGAGAGGTTTAAAGTCCATAGACAAAGGCAGTGCTCAGTTGAGAATGAAAGAAGTTAAATATCACTGATGAGAGAACAATTGTCTGCTAGTGCCCAACCTCATCCATCCAAAACCTCTCCATTTGTAGTGAGATTTGCCAGGCGACCTGTCTCGGCAGGCATTTCCCTTTTTCCTCTCTCCTCCATCGCCCTTGCACTAAAAATGTTAAATGTATTCACAAAACTATTAAATGTAATCACAAAAAATCAGCCCTTGCTTAAGCAAAAACAGAGGTAAATGCATCCACAACCCCAGTGGGTTCTACTGGGATATTATTGTGGCTGGCCGGCCTCTGCTTTGGAAAATGTGCGTGTGGGGTAAGGTGCTCAACCTGCACCAAACCTACTGAGCTCTTATTTTGGTGCTTAAGTGGGAGCTGAGCTCGTCTGAAAATCTGGCCCCATGTGGATCCTGTGCTGTTTTGAAAATCTGGTCCTATATAGCTGTATTTTTGTAAAATATTTAGGGGGAAATTTTCAAAGGCAAAGAGGCCAGTATTGCACCCAATTCCCATTGACTACCAGTGGGATTATGGCATTTTCAAAGACACTGCCCTTTGTGCCTTTGAAAATGTCCCCCTTAAATACTTATTGGTCTGAAAAAATACATTCTTCTGTATTTATACCCAGAACTGGAAAGGGCTGTCCAAGGTTAGCCTTGTTAGAGACATTTACAGGAGATCTGATTTAATGAGCCCCACACAACTCCGACGGGCTCTTACTGATGTTGTCAGTGCTCAGTGATTTTGACAATCAGACCCTTCGTACCATGCTGCAAAGAGACACAAACAGCCAGTTCTTTCCGGCACTAGGTAGTTATTCAGCAGTCAATGCCGCCTGCATCCAGGGTCGGATATATGCTGTAACACAGCAGCACAGATAATCCAGGAGTCTGAGGGAGTGAGACACCGTCTACAGTACGCCTTGGTTACATTCATTATATTCTGCTTCATAAGGAAACAGCAGCAATATGGGCCCAATGCTATTTCTATTCAGTTCAATGGGCAGGGTGACCAGACGTCCCATTTGTAAGCTCGTCTACAGGTGTCTTGAATTATTTTTTAAAAATGGGCAAATGTTTCCATATTTTCTGTCTCTCCGCCCTGCATCAGTATTGGTGGGTCCTGCTGCTGGCTGGATCCCTGCTTGCCAGCTGCCCACCCACCAGCGATGAGTGGGGAGGGGGGTCCAGTGGCCGATAATGGGGGTGGGTGTGCAAGGCTGGTGGCGGGACAAAGCTGGCCACTCCTCCTGCTGGTCCATCAGCACAGCCCCTGCTGCATGTCGGCTCTTGGCCAGCAGGACCCTGCCCCCCATCCCATTTCCAGACAGCACTGGCTGCGCACTGTGAGCTGCAGTGGCTGGTGAGTGCAGGCAGGTGCCAGGGGTCAGCCAGTTACGTGTCACATCGGCTGCACACCCATCAGCCCTTTACATGCTCCCCCTCTCGCTGTCCCCTCCCTGCTTTGCCCCTTCACACACGCCTGAGCCCTACTGCTCCTCCATATCCCTCCCCCTCAGCGGGGCACATCCGGCTCCCAGTGCTGTGCAGAGAACCAGCCCCCAGCTGGAGTGCTTAGCTCACCAACAGCTTGGCTGGCAGGTTCCTTCGTAGAATCATAGAATATTAAGGTTGGAAGAGACCTCAGGAGGTCATCTAGTCCAATCTCCTGCTCAAAGCAGGACCAACGCCAACTAAATCATCCCAGCCAGGGCTTTGTCAAGCCGGGCCTTAAAAACCTCTAAGGATGGGCCAGCGCCCCGGGAAAGCCCAAGATCCTCTGGCCCAGGGAACTGGCCAGGAGGAGCCAAGCCCTGCATGTGCCAAAGCCCCACACAGCAGTAGCACGGGGAAGCCTCCCCCCCCTTCAGCTAAGCTCTGGAGTGGTGGTGGGGGGAAGTGATTTCCAGCCTGGTCATGCCCCGAACCTGCAGGCTCCACAGCTGTTCTCCGAGCAGGGGCTTAGCACCCTGTTCTCCCACACGCTCTGATTCCTTCTCCCAGGGAGTGCGGGGCTGCGCCGTCCTCTAGGCACCCTCCCCTGCTGAGACACCTCTCTGGCCGGGTTTGCTGAAGCCTTTGCAGTCAGGTTCCTTGGGCCCTGGTGCACAATGCATCCTTAGGGCTTAACCCCTTCTTGCCTGCTGTGTAGCCGGGGGACAGGAGGCGGCTGGGTTATGTCAGTGGCCAGCAGCAGCCTGGAGGTGTTATCTGCCTTGCGACTCAGTGCGGGCAGGAAGGGACAAGCTGCTTCCAGCTGTGGGAGTGGGGGCAAGGGGAGAGAGAGATGAGCTCTGCAAAGACATGGGCCAGGTCATCCCTTCCCCCACACACACACTCCCCTGTGGCTGGAAGCAGCTCCCTTCCCTTCCCTCCCACACAGTGCCGAAAGGCTGCTGTTGGCTACATTCTGGTGTGAACCCTGGCAGAAATCTGGGGTAGGGGGGCCTTGTGAACCTGCATGCCCCCCCCATATGTTGCCTCGGGAAGACGTTGCACCAGGTACCAGGAACAGCGGGTCCGTCCCAGAAGCCCAGCCAGATATGGAGGGCGGAGAGCACCGGCCAGAGAGGGTCAGGTCGGTCATCCCCACGTGTGAGAGAGGTGTATGGGAGTGTGTGTGTGTGTCACCTCTCCCTGTGTGAACCCTAAAGCCTTAAAGATAAGAAAGTAAGTAAAAAGAATCCCACTACACAGTATTTCTTTTTAACAGGGGCTCAGTCAACTTGATGTTAATTTGAATGTTTATACTGCATAGTTCTGATTGATTGTCATTGAACCCACTTGAATACGAGTAATTTTACCAAGTGCCCTGTATTTAGCATAGGGAAATATGTTCACCCTATCAATGGGAGTTTTGCCATTGGCTTCAGTGGGAGCAATTAATGGCCTTCTGTGATCAGCAGCTGCCATTACACATACAACAGTACCCTTCCTCTCTCTCGTTGCACTGGCAATACTGTAATTACCATTGCTGCTTTTGACACAACTGATCTGGGTTAATTTCCCAGTCATCTCTGTACACCCATATCTAAGGTGCTGTTAGAGCCATGAAAGTAATAAATGATATTCTGTGAGAGTGAATGGGACGAAATAGAAAACCGAAATCAGAGCATCTCAACTATGGTCTCAGAAATACAAAAGGAGAGGAGTTAATGGAGTGCTAGCAGGAGGAACTCTGTGCTTTGCAGTGATTTTAGTGCATACCAGGTCACCTGCAAAATCACCATCTCAAATAAGGAGTGAACTATAGAGAAACAACCCCCAAACAACCCCCTTCATATGAATTTGTTTTTTCAGGCATCATACAGGGAGATTATGGGATGGAGCAATAAGATGCTCACATAACAAAACCCCACAACCACAGACTTTTGAGGGGGCATATCTTCAAAAATAAGCACCTAACGCTCTGATCCTGCAAACATTTTTATGCACCTGAGCAACTTTACATACGAGTAGGCTACTCTCATGTAAAGTTACTCACAGGCTTAAGTATTTGAAGGATTAAAGCCTGAAACTGCATATAATGCATGCTCATTTAGATATTGTTGTTGTTGTTGTTGTTGTTTTTCAAATGTCACCCTCTAAGTTTTGGGAGCCCTAAAGAAGGCTGTTTAAGCCTTCGCTCATTTCTCAATTGTCTTCTGTTATTTTTAGCACAAGTTCCTTTGCTTGGCAA